ATTGCCATGAATTGGCAATGTATTTTATGCTCATCAGCCCATAATTTTGGGACACTCTCTACAACGTAGCAGGGAGGTGTCGGGGAATGACAGTACTGCTTACTAGCATGCCCTATCATTGTGTAGAAAAGAGGGTCCTATTGAGTTTACTTCATTCTTCCCGTCAAATCCAATAGTTCGGTTCATTCTTCCCGTCAAATCCCATGAAGTGCTACAACGCCGTCTCTGAAGTTACAGCAATAAGTTCTGCAAAAAGATCGAGAACGCTTCGCTTACCGCGGATGAGTGAGATTTTTTATTCCTAACCTTTGCCCGTTTTTCTCCGGGTAAGGGCTTTTTTGGAGCAAAATAATGAAGTTTTTCCATTTCACCACCCACTCCGGTGAGTGTTCCACCCGTTGTAAGCGAAGCTCCCTTGAGTTCACATATCCTCTGCTGATATTGCCATCCGAATGTTCCAGTCATCCTAAAGCTGACTCCACCTCTCCACGTAATCGAATCTCGGGACGTAGAAACGAAATTTTTATATATAGTAAGTGGCGATGATGACTTTATAGGTAATGACTGTTGATAATGACTACGCAAATAGAACGATTCTGGAATGATAAGGATATTTTTGTACAGAGTTGTGAATTACTGATCTCAGCTTCGCTCGCCTCAGTAGAAGCGCCGCGCACTTCAGGGATTTGACCACACTCCTTCTAATACCTCCAACCACTTCTTTCCCGCGTAATAGAACGAATATTTAGTCTTAGCCCCTTATACTTCAGAGACTCGACCGCATCTAAAAAAATAACATAACATTTGGCGCACCGCAAAGCGTGGGTGTGGCTTCCATAGTTTTACGAATGCCCAGCACGCATCAGGCCTTGCACTCTTTTGACCTTTTTCAGGCATTCACGATCAGTTGAATCGAGCTATGGACTTCTGTTTCTTTGTTTGTTTGTACATAAATTCGATATTACCTTAGGAAGCCCTTGCAGAAGTCAGGTCAAGCTTGGGATGGGTTGCACATAGGGCAAGCCAACATAGCACANCAGCGGAGCTCACATATGCTATGCCGAAGGGGCGGGACAGCCATAAGAGTGGGCAAAACTTCCGAACTAGGTTTCATAGCAGCCCAGACACCGGGAAAAGTGAGCAAAAGTGAGGGATGGGTCAACAAGCCAATGAAGGAAACTCATCGGCGGTGGGCGGAACTTTCTCACGAAGGGCGGTTTTTGGCACATAAGTATGTGTTATCCCTTTATGATGTCGGCCGCTCTTATTGTTTGTCGAGGTCAGAAATGAAGCGGCATTTTTGCACGCGATAGAAACGGCAACGAAACTTTTGCTTAACGCTCCACCCCACCAACAACACCGATAAGTCCCGCTCCTTTTCCATTTTCAAGTGATCACGCAGAATCATTGTCGACTCGCAAACGGACCATTTTGATAGCCTTATCTTCAGAAACACTGGCCATTCTACCATTTCCTAGCTTGCGTTTGATTGCATCTTCTTCTTTGTATCGTTCGATAGCCTTCTGTACGGATATTCTAAGATCACAAAGATTTTATTATGCCCTTTTGCCTCTCGCGTGCCAATGATTGCAAGTGGCATTGAATGAGCCTCCGCCATCTAAAAGATATTGACAGTTTCATTTCAGTGACCATGCATTTTGCAAGAAAACCTTCTCGTGCAACTAGTCAACAGCAAGCGAAGTGAGTTGGATAAATTACTACTACTTCAGAAGCTCTTAAATTTTGGCGCCCATCATTTTGGGACACCCTGTATATTTCCGGTGAAACATATTTTTCGCTTGTTACAACCTGGCTGAGCTATTCCCTTTCAATTTAGGAAGCTGTAGTATATAAAGTTGCTATGAAAAACAAACGGTCTCATCAATACCTGACTTTCATGTTTTTTGGTAGCTTTGCATTTTCTAAAGCTAGCATATCTGAAAATAGCAGCCGAATAAGTGGTGTATTCTAATGAGACACAGTTATCCAGGATGCCGCAAGAAAACTATTCGGGCGGGGGAGGCCGGATCCATATCCATGATCTACCATGTGATAACTGTAGGACATCTTGGAAGCTTCTCCGCAAAAGGTATACGAGGGCGCGTGCGCCTACCTGAGTTTAAACACGATGTCTATTTCACAAGACTATCTTCGAGCCATCATCCTCTATGAGTTGGGCCACGGCACTGGAGCGACAGCAACAATCCACAACATCAACAGCGCATTGCGGACGAACACCACCTCGATTGCTGCGGTCCTCGCTGGTTCGCTCGCCTCGAAGAAGGGGACACGGGGTTAGAAGACAAGCCTCCGTCGGGACGCCCTCCGCCGTCGACGATTCCATCATTCTCGACACTATCAAAGATGATCTGGAAGTTAACACCCGCAGTCTCGCGACGAGACTTGGGTATGCCCGATCAACAGTCGCCGGTCGCCTTCAAGCCCTCGGTTATAGAAAAGTGTTAACTCGATGGATACCTCGTGTCTTTACCGATAACACGCGGTACAGCAGGGTATCCTGTCAGTACTTCTTCGCCCACATCGAAAGGAGTTTCCGGAGGACATAGTTGCTGGATGAAAGCTGGCTCCTCTACGACACCAAAAAGCGCCGCGCTGTCTGGCTCGCGCGAGGAGAACAGCCGCCGACACTAGCCAAATCCGGTCTCCATCCCAAATAGTTTCTCCTTTGCTGCTTTTGGGATTCAAAAGGAATGCTGCACTACGAAGTGCTCAAGCAAGGCGACACCGTCACCGCTCCCCATTACGCTGGTCAGCTGCAGAAATTTGCAGAGCCGCTCGAGAAAAACTGCCTGGACGAACTTTTGTGCACCTCCTCTATGACTACGCTAGGCCTCACATAGTTAAAGAGCCGTACAAAATTGGAGGAGCTAGCCATGGTTCTACATCCACATCTTGCCCGCTGTGACTACCATTTGTTCAAGCTTCTCAAGGCTCTCCTAGCAAAAAAAAAACAACTCAACTACGACCACCTTGAACTAGTGGTAGACGACTTCTTTGAGTCCCGATTTTCCCAGTTCTGGGAGAAGGGAATCACTGACCTGCCCGTTAGGTCTAACAATGTTATAGCTAACGATGATTATTATATTGTTGATTAGCTTGCACTGTTTGCCGAGTTGTAAAATAAACAGAAAAACATCTCAACCCTTTCAGAACTTTTTGAACAACCTAATACTATGAGGGCTCCATTCTGATATCTGTATCCCTTTCAACTTTGAACTCCCCAATACAGGAAAACAAAATCTCGCGCATTTCTCGGAATCCAACCCCCGTTCCATCTCACGCATGACGTTCCCATGCATCACTTACGTGCTATGTGTGGTAGAAATTCATTGGTATTTTTTATACAAGTCGGATCGCTCAGCTAAAGCCGGAATCTCCTTTACGTGTAAAGTTGGCCACAGGGTTCTGGAACAGGAGAACAGAGCTACAAACTGCCGTCCAAACACGCAACACACACCCGCGCGCACACACACGCGCACATACACACACATACACACACACAAACCAAATATATACCTCCCTAATTCACCTACGCGAATTCCATCCTTATTCTTTGCGAGTCATAGTACTTTTTCAGTTGCCATTGAGAGCCAACTGAGAGAAATTTGATGTTTAACAATTTAAAAGTAGCCAATGCCATCAAACTAATTCATGACCGCGTTTCGCTACACATGTTCATCACCGTTCACGTCGTTGCCTCTTCATGGTCGATTAGCCGTCAGATTGGAAAAAGTTCTTGCGAGACTTGATACTACTCTTCCGATCTACGTTACACTTTACTGACTTTTGAGACGGGAAAACTCTTGGGAAATGAATTGATTACCATCAGTTCTTATCATCCCTTGCTGATTTCAGCCCTTCGTTTGCACAATGAAATTGCTCACGAGAAAAAGTCGTTCAACATGCAACCCATATCATCTGACATATGAACGATGCTTCCTGCAGCGAGTCGACGTGAGGTTTTTGTGCAGAAACCTTATTGAGGGAGGTTTGACTCTCGATCTTTCCTGGTGCTAACAGTAAACTTAGTAGTGTTGCGCAGGAGATGTAAGCTCCAGCAGGTCATAGCCTTGGTTGGTCTGAAATTGAGGCTGCTTCTCTTTCTTAAGCAGCCCAAAAACCTCAGCGCTCATCGTTGAAGAAGGCAGTTAACAGAAAGCGGTTCCATTGAGAAAAACGCTTATCTAATTAGGACTATAACTTCAAGCAACCTCCTAGCAACTGAAAGGCTTCACATGTTCTGGCCATCGTACATAAAGATTCAATTTTGTAAAGCGCATCACCGAAAGTAAACCATCTTTGACAAAAAAGAGCAGATCAATAATATCCGCCGCTACTACTCCCCAAAGTTGGTATCCAACGTAGCTATGCTTGCAATCATTAATTTAGGATTTTCAAAAGAGACCTTTACAAAAGAAGCCAAGGGAGTTCCATAATGATGGAAAAATAGGGAACGAAGGTTCAGGACAGGTTACTTGATGCTTGCTATGGCATCCGAAATGTACACCATTTCTGCCATTCTGTTGCTCTAAATTGACCGTGCTTGTTTCTTGAGATCTCAGACTTTTACATATACTTTCAACCAGGATTTTGCCGCTGTATATTGTCTAGTCTTCTAGTATCACTATCTTTTAACCTGAATAGAAAGACGTAACGGTTCTAACTAGTCCGATACAGACCAAAAACTTCCAATAACTTTCGTTCCAAAAAATTAGTTTCTGAACTCACTCCTCCTCCTCAACATCCTCTTTGCCGAACATATCTCTGATCTTTAGACAACGAGTAAGAGCCTCGGCTGGAATGTTCGGCGACAACACTCTCGACGATGGCAAGCTCATCCCCGGAGGAGGTGCGAAAGCTGGAATTTTTGCAAATGTCATGCAAAAAACACCAGAAATCCTTAATAGGTTATTGTTACTCGTAGGCTTAGAAGAAATTCTGTTAAATCCTCATCCATAAAAACTGTAGCGTACAACTGCTTAGCCCCATTTCTTCATTTTATTCAATTTAAGGCTCCTTCAATAAATTACCAACTAACTAGCTTAACACTAACTTATCGCAGAGCTCCCACGCTTTGAATTTTCAAGATTTTGGCGAGTTTTCGCGGTGTTTTAATAGCTTACACAACAATGCAGTTTCTAGAATATTCTCACAAACCAATTTATTCCAAAAGTAAATGAATTCACGGTGATTAATTAACGCGGTTAGTCGTACTTGCAAGTGGCACACAACTAGAGACCTCGGTGGCCAAGCCGCTTAAATTATTAGTAGTTACGGGAAAGGTTCACAAGATTAATCAACCTAAATGAAGTACAATATCGAACAACATATGTTAAAATTTTTCAACCACAACAAAATCAGAAAATGCGAGAATAAATCAATTCAATTACGAAACAAAGAAATTATAGAAGAGCATGACTGCGAGGTGCGCTTGAAACTTATCACAATAAAATACGCTATAACAACCAACTACAAAACTCCACGATATAAAGATATCCCAAAAAGGGCTTACGAAACGCAAACACGAGATCTCCCCCTCATTAATATCTTCAACAAGTTACCATAGATTCAAAAGGGTGGTAATTTCACTCGAAAAAGACTCCCGGTAATGCACTTAGAACAAAAGTTGCATAGTCTAGAGCCTACCCGATCCTTGCCACCCGGTTCGTTTAGCCGGGATCCATCTCCACACGTCGCATTCCTGTCCTCCACGAAGTACTCGCGTCTCAGTTGAAATACGTGACTCATTAGCATTGATAAAGTCGACAGCTCTCTCCCAACGTGCCAACTCTGCACCACGTCTAAAGTGAACCAAAAACTAGCAGCACGGTAAATATAATATATATATAGAGCATTTTTTTAAACTCCTTATAATGTTGTGACTGAAACGATTTCTGCCAAATCGCCAACTCGAAACGACTCCAAACGCACGTCATTTCTCAGGTAATACCAATAATCACAGGACTTATACATGGCTGGATCGCAATATAAACACTGAACTTGTTGAACCTCTATTGAGACTTTCAATCCGCCGGCATGAACAATTTCAGAAAATTGCGGCACCGTGAAGAAGAACTATCAGGAAACTTATCATATTATCATACAAGAGAAAAACCTGAGCAGAACAGAAACAGAAGAAAAAAAGTACACAAGGAGGAAATTCCATTACTCTGCGTGAAATGTCGTCAACTCTTCTTCTTCTACTTTATGCTACCCAGTTGCATAAAATACAATGCCCATAAATGCAAATCCTAATTCCTTGATCAAATGTTTTTTTTCCACAGATCTACTAAGGAACTCATGAAACTTGGTACAACGCGTCTCATTCGACCTTTAGGCAGGCATATAAATAAATAGTATAAATAACCAGCGGCAGACCACCTGCTCCAGGAAAACTGCAAACAGCACAAACCGCATTCATGACATCACACGGGAAACGTCTAGACAATCTTTTAAGAGCTTCAACCCCAGGGATCATAACACGCAAAGTGGTTCGTCTTCAGTCTTATGCATACGAAGTCTAAACTGTTCATGTTTCACAACCAGGTGATCCAACGGCCCAACGCATGTTTAACTAGCTTGACTGTTAAATTATATAACTTGCATCACTATTTATCAAACGGTTATGTATCGATCAAGATCTCGTATGCAGAAGTGTATGTGTGCATGTGTGCGGGCGAATAAGCATACGTATGTATGTGTTTTTCTGCATTCTCTGTAGAGTTGTATTACTTCGCCTTCAGGGCAGATTGTTAAGGGCTGATGATTCCTTCATCAATCACCCCTCGTTCATTGAGACTTCTTTTCTTAATCGACAAGAAATGCAAGTGAGGACATGGCTCACACAAACAAAAAGAAGTAAAGGAACGGAAGGAGCTGCGACATACCTCTTCGCAGGAGGGAACATGACATCTCTCACATGAGGTATTGATATATATTCTTCGCCGTTCTCGTTGGCCTCTCGCACAATGTCTAAGAATAAAGCAGTTAGCCTTCCATGCATTAAATATATTATGAAGAAATTCAGTCTTACCAAGAATTTTGTCCACTAAGTCGTAGAACGCAGCCTCCTCCTTTTCCTTCAATTGGTTCCACTTTTTGTGTCCAAAATAAATTGCAAGAACGACTGCGATTGCTAAAATAGGATAAGACTGATAGATGTTGAAATGACTACGCTGAAAGCTGGGGTGTCGCAAAATTAGCGAACCGACCCAATGATCAAAAAGTTCTGATTACGTTCAATGTTTTGAAATAATTTCACCAAAGAAAAGGCACGAAAAAAATAGATGTCGGCCGCCCCTCTTTACTGAGAATAGCCCTTTTTTGTCCAAGGCGCGAATGAAAAACATACAACCCGCCACACACCGCCAAAAAGCGCCTCAAGGTTACGGTTAAAACGGTTAGAAACATAACAAGGTAGATCCTGCAGGAAAGTTTACTGGTTATTAGCTTTGGTCTATGCCGGCTTCGAGATTAAGAAAAGTGTTATGCCAGAAGCAGCACTAGATGTGTGAGTGTTTTCTACTTTTAAGCCATCATTAATTATAAAACTTCCAAATAAAACTCTCACCTCCCAATACAACGAAGCTTGGAACTATGGCGTACATGTAAAAGAAATGGACGGTGTCGCGAATGGCACCTAAAATTGATGGTGAATTGGAAGCAACGATTTTCGGAAAATCACCCAGATATTCTGGATAATAGCATTTACCTTAACATAGCTAGGGAAACTCACCAGATATTGTATGAGCTGTAGCGACGAGTGATTCCTGCCGAGCTGTACCGAGGTAGGCAACAGCCAACATCACAAAGAAGACGCTAAGAACGATCACCAGAATGGTTGATATATCCCTAAACGTTGATATATGCTAAAATCTGATAGCTATTTCAATAAAGGTGTATCACAATATGAGATCGAACCATTATCAAACTGCCTATGACAGTTTTGTGTTCTTCGTATAAATACGTCAATCCCACCCTATGAATAAGTCGTGACCGAGGTGAGAGTGTCATGCACAAATATAATAACGAATCGACGCAAATTGACAACTTTCAAAGCTTGCCTTCCGATGCTCTGCTGCTGTACCCTAATTCTCCCAGTTTTTGGATCTCGATCGACGCGAGTTCTTGTTGAGCCATGGCGAAGTTCGTAATTTGAGCCAGGAACTTTCCCAGCTTTAAACTGAAACTAAAATTGTTGAACAATGATGCTAGAACTACAAGACCTTCCTCACATCATATCCGAGAAGATTGTCCCAAGCCTTGCGCAGAGGAGAGCGCTTTTCTGGACCGGTAACATTGGTTGTGTACACAACTCGGCTTGACTCTTGTCCGTCGTAATCGTCTTCATCATCATCATCACCATCATTACGTCCAAGATCGAGCAGACCACGGGATCCTGCAAGCTGATATAATTTTTCAAAAATGGAAGTTTTGCCGAATTAAGACTAGAGAACAACAAAATTCAGAGCTTGATAGAGAAATTACGTTGCTATCATTGGGAAAATCGGAAAAAAAAANAAAAAAAAAACAGAATGAAAATTTAGTATTATACGCACCGATGGGCGCTACTTTTCCGTAAACACTTCTGCTGCTTCTGTCAAAAAGTCCACTACGTTCAGCTGAAGAGTCTCCTGCCAAGGTGTAGGAAGTTGTCGTTGTGACACGAGTGGAAGGACGAGTGGAAGACGTCCTAAATAGTACTCTTCGAACACCCGAAATCTTTGGAGTTCCTACTGTAAAAACCATAAATTTAGCGTTTTTGTATGTTTGTCTGCCAGTTTGTTTGTCTATTTGACTGTCACAAAACTCGGTATCTTGGAAGCAGCACCTAAAGAGATGGGTCAAGTTCGCGATGGGCGGAGCCTAAGGCAGATCAAATGAGCACATATGAGCTCAGAATTTGTGGCTCTTGAAAAGACTGGTGACGAGGAGAAAGCCCAAAACATTTTCTGGGTTTCATCCGGTCAATTTTGAGAAGGGAAACGAATAGCATCCAGTAATCGTTGACTCTTCAAAGTGTATTATCAATACATGCATTTCAATACGAAAAAAACACGAACTCTTCCTACATGACATCCAAGGATTCTCATGAGCATGGATTCATATTTACCATCAGGGTCTTACATTCTTGATAGCTGTTGTATTAAGCCACTGCCAGCACTGGTCTAATGAACTGTTCTGGTAAAAGTTCTAGCGCTAGCCCTTATACAGATAAACGTTGAGGTTGATGAAGGTGGAGGTGCAGCTGAGGATACATGCTGCTAAAGTGGGGAACTACAGATATTTCAAACACCTATTATCAAAACTCTACCCAACCAAAGAGGCCCTGACTACAAAGGGGGATTTTGATGTCTGGACCCCGTAATGCGCAGGAATTGCTTTGAAAGCACGTACAGTAGCTTCAAAACAGCTATGGAACAAGGAAAAAATTAGCCAGTCCGGAGTGAAGAGGTGAATACAGTGAATACAGAAGAATGGGACTTGATGTGAACTGGATATGAAGGTCATAGACCTTAATCGACTGCTCCACGAAACTTGAATTGGGACAAATTTGTTCAAAAGGATGTATTACTGTGCATAACTCGGCTTCAATATTCCAACATTCAATGAGCGCTGAATTCCATTCAGCAGTCAAAGTTTGATGAGAATTTTCTATGAACTAAATTCTTCAGTAAGTTNAAGTTTAGGTTGATCCAGTAGACCTTATCATGACGGCTACAAACGAAGGCTATAAGCGACGAAAATGAGGTTGACATTGGATCTTACAGTTCTCGTTAATGTGTTGGGAAATATTATGGCTAATTCTATTAACTCGAACCGATTACCTAGATAACCGCCAAATCTGAGCACAAATATGTACGGCAATTCAAAAAAAGTCAGTCGTGAACACCTACTTTGGAACAGTAGCATTCCGTGGAGGAGTCGCTCCCGGTCGATCGGTACGATATAGTCCCGGAATAATTTGGGAGGAAGGTGTGTAGTTATAACTGAACAAAGTCATTTTTTTCAAATTATGAAAGCTCTGCAAGAAAAAAGCAAGGGCATTAGTATGCAATTTGTATGTATTCTGTTAACATAAACTTACTTGTCATTGGACTTTGGCAATGGTCTCGATAGATTTTGAGGTGTTGATGTTACACTATGACGAGGTTCTTCCGGTGTTGAAGTGACAGGCTTCCCATAATATTTAGTAGTAACAGGTTCCTCGTCGGATTCATCTGTATTTGAATGATTGCTTGAACGGAAATTCAGGCTTAGTAATTATTTGAGATGAAGTAGCAGAAGAAAATCTGTATTCAGAAATAATAAAAGCTAATTCAGCACTATGAACGCTTTGGATACCTTTACGAACTGGAGTACTATTCTGTAGGGGCAATGGCTAAATTCTGTATCAGCGCTATTTTATTTTCACGTTCTCGAAATCTCCATTCTCGCTTTCTTAAACATGATAGCAAATCCCTCACTTGGATCAGAGCAACCAAACATTTCTAGTCTTCTTCACTCTATGTGAAAACCTCTACTTCTATTGCATAAAACTTGTGACGATATTTCAGAAAGTGAGAAAAGGAAGGAACCACTTCGCATAATGAATCTAAAAAAANAAAAAAACCTTCGCTTTCAGACGGTGCAGTCTTACGACGGACACCCTGTGCTCCGCTTTTCGCCGTCGACGTTACTCGGGATGGTGACTTTGAAGAGGGCGACACGCGTTTTGGAGGTGTTGTTACCTGAATGAAAGACACATATCGTATGCAAAAGAAAGCATTGCGACCGAAAGAGGCAGAAGGGTTCACCTTGGTCTTCTGTGGAGATGTATTTGTAGCACTAGGGGGACCCTGTTTCAAAAGTTTAGCAAGTTTCTTTTCGTAAAGTGAGCGTGTTGTACCCGTCACTGGACCAACACTGACGTTGTATTTGCGGAGCTCTCCAGCAAGTTCCGCATCCGAGAGTAAAGCGACGTCCTTCATCTAAAGTAATCAAAACAATAGGAAACTGCGCCACAGAGAAGAATCAAGAAAGGAAACAGAGAAATAAACGAACATGGGACACAAGTTAGAGTAAGCGAAAATTCCTTCGACAAAGCAACAACCTATGAGTAAATTTCTGCGCTTAAAACATAAAGGAAAAGAACATGATCACGAGTGAGAAGAAACCTCTTCAGGAACGAGGCGCGATGAACTGAGTCAACTATTACAGAAAGCAGCCGTGGCAATATGCCAACCATCGCCTGAACCGAGAAGGCGCTTGTTGGCAAACTGCCACGACTGTGGCGGACATCTAATTATATTTGTTGGCAAGGCATTTGCTTTGAAAATATTGTGGGTGAGAACTTAACAAAAGAGAGCAGTCCTACTGAGAATTCATAGAAAATATTCACATAAGATATAGCTAGAAACGAGTCTCAATACAAGGAAAGAAGAGAACATTACTGCAGTAGTCCAATGATCTATTATTGCAAACTCGTTGCGGCAGCTTTAGTTCTTGCAAAAAAAATTAAAATACTACTCTCACAAAGTAAAGATGCGGATCTTCCCCNCCCCCTAATATCCGCCGCGCTTGGATACTTGAGTGCAACTCAGAGCGCTCTAAGCAGTGTCCTTTTACTTGCTCGTGCTTCTACTGGCCTGACATCCTTCTCCCTCCTATCCTTCTTCTACTGCAAACATACCTGTACCCACTGTTACTGCAAAGTAGGTCAAGCAACCCATGATGTAGGCAAGCGATCATTGTAAAAATCCTTCTCTTAAGATTTACACCTTTTGTCGTGACCATGCATGCACCAAGACCCTCATGTGGTTTCAACAAAGGGAGAGATTGGTCCATTTTCTTTAGGAAGTAGAATTTTATTTCTTTTTTCGAACTCATGCAAGGACATATTTACTGCGCTTTTACTTCGTAAACTTTCCTTTTTTTTTCTCCATGCAAATGCAATTAAGACGAGCAGTGCAATTAGAAAACTACCAGTGTTTCAATAAAACGCGGAAAACCACCTGTCAAACCGGTACTGACGACCATTGCAGAATAAGAACGTTCAATGACTCCTTACGTCGTCAACGCGGTTAGAGAAAAACGTACAGAACNACAATTCAGGTACCTACAGAACGACGACGCCCGTCAAAAATTCAGTGGTCTCGCTTGGTTCCCGCTTGTTCATCAGTCGAACACAACGTTGACCCTTTTGTTAACCATGTGCTTCTCAAGCATCCTTTTTGGGAAAAGAGCCGTTAATATGATCTGAGAACGGCAGTGATTTCTTTAAACGGCACCTTCCGACTTTCCGCAAAAGACATAGCGACCTTAATGAAGAATAAGGGAAGGCTGTTGATCTCTCTGGTAAATATATTTCTAATATTTGATTGATTTGGACAATCTAGAAATGAACCTGAGCTTTCTTTTTGTCGTAGAACTTTCTTGCAAACCTATTAATACGAGAATGATCTCTGCTTTAAATCTCCAACAGCTTTCAATGGACAGACATTTCAAAATTAAACAAAAACACTACACAACTAGTACGATTTCTTCTGACGAATCGAATATTTTCAGGAAAAAGTTATAATTCTGAGAGACAGCATGGAGATACTAGGTCGTAATGGTCAAGTAGGAAAGAACAATCACGAGATAATGATCTAAACGACGTTAAAACATGTCATTCTCAATTTCCAACATAGTGTATGTTGAATCAGAATTTGTTCCCTTCGTGGATAGGATAAATATGACGAAACGAAACATAAGACCTGTAAGCACCGAACCCACGTTCAATATCTCACGTGCTCTACTTAGCACAGGAACAAACTCATTAAAACAAAAAAAGAAATTAAGAATAATTACGTCACAGATTACGAAGAGTCTGAACTGCGTAAATTCAAAACACCATTTCGAAAAGTTGCGCCGTCGCGGAGGCGTTCCTACGAAGCGGCGTTTCGCAATCATTTTGCGATTGGGGCGCATAAGCCGTAACCGTCGCCTAAACGTGGGGACGAAACACACGTGCGTCCGGAAGTGCTCGCGGCAAAGGTCGTAGCGATTTGAACGACTTTGCCCAATTTCGAAGTAGAGTAGATTACTAGGATCAGCTGGTACTGCTAATCTACTCTACTTCAAAGTTGAACCCTAATATAGACATTGAAGTCATTCAAATCGCAATGTCTTTCGCCGCGCAGTTTGCAGCGCGCATCCTTGGGTGCACGTATGTACCCATACCCGAGAGGGAGGCAACAAAGAGCATCTTCCAAATCCTGCAGAATTTCAGTAGAGAATATATTTATTTCATGCCATAACCTTATTCAAAGACACCGTTTACGATAAATTTAGGGTACCCTTTTTTGACGGGAATTCATAGAACTACTCTAGAATAAAGCGATAATAACGAAAAAAGCGCAAAAAACGATGAACAAAAAGAAATAGAAAGGGTCAAAAAAGACCTGGGAAGGGGGGTTGGACGAGTTCACATTGGAAGAACGGGGGTTAAGGGAGTGTTCGGGCTAGTGCACGAAGGCGACGCAATGTTTGCAATAGCAGACAACACACCCAAGCAGACACATCGCTCCAATGCGAATGTGGTGAAGGACAGTAAGAACTCGTAGTCAGCCTAGCGAGGGGTGGAGGCCTCCCGTCCCCCACTATTCCTGCTCTAATAG